ACAATTAAAATTTCAGATAAAATTATGACAAAAACACATCTAGAAATTTCGTGTGACATTGACATGATGCAGTATAAACATGCTTGCTTTCATTAATAAGCAGAGATTTCATGAAGAGCAGACAGATGTTCTAAAGGTTTGACTGAGAATTTTTTATTTGAATACTACAGCGTTTTGAATATTAAACAAAAATTTATAAACTTGAATATTTTCTATGAAAATAGACCTTTTTTCCACATGTACTATACTTACAATCCAGGATAAAAAAAAAGAGGGCTAGATATGGCATTCAGTGATAGTGGTAGAGTTTGCATAAATGCCTTGGTTCAATGCCCACTGCATTAATTAATTAATCAGAGAACAGCATACTGGAAGAGTGTAGCTTAGTTCCTGCTCTGCTTCTAAACTGATGGAATTTTAATAAACAGACTGTTGTTTCAAATTCTGTCGCTATGAAGGGAACAGTTGCTTGTGCCCCAGTGTTAGTTTTTGAACAAATTAAAGAAAAATAATAGTAGTAAGAATACAATAGATTCATGAATCTTGTAAAGTTTATAATTTTTATTTTAGAAACTGTAAGAGTTAAGTGAAAAGGAGTGTGGGATTTGCATCAAGTAGATACAGGTTTAAATCTGTTTAACCACAAAGGAGTTTTGTAATTTTTTGAAATTTAGTCTTGTCAGGTTGTTAAAATGTGATAGCATTCCTTCAGATTGAAAAAAGATCTGAAAATAAGTGTCTAGTGTAGTGCTTGGCATACATTTTTGTATCCATAAATACTGCCCACTCTCTTCTTTCATCTTTCTCTTTTCACAATAATTTCCGGTTCCTACCTTAAGTACATTTTGACCTTTGTTACTGGTTCAAAGCAGTCACCTAACGTGACTTTTTAAATATATTTCAAACATATTATCATAACATATGGGCAGAATTTAATTACCGCATATCATTCATTTCATTGCATTTTCCATTTCTCCAAAAGAATGCAGCATGCAAAGTAAGGCTATTCAAGGCATATTTTATTTTTTTTATTTTTTTTTTTTTATTTTTTTTTTTTCAAGGCATATTTTAAATTAATGTTTGATTTAACAACTCTAATTTTATGTGTAAAACTGTGCTGTGTGTAACCTGTTTTAGCTCAGAAAGTCATTACTCTATGACACCACTGTATTTCTAAAAACAAAGACAAAACAAGGTATAAAAATAGGGTAACATCTAAAGTTTAGTTATTACAATAGATAGAGTACTTGAACTATTCTCTTTCTTGTATAAATTTATTTTCATTAGTACGTGTTTGCAGTATATAATGGTTATAGTCCTCCTGGGTCATTGGCCTATGTATATCATGCCTTTTAGGTGCTCCTCCTCCCTCCATCTATGGGATATCCTACTTAAACTAAACATTCAGAAGCATCATTTAAATTTAAATAGATCACAGCATTTGCCATGAATTTGTTCCTGAAACAATGTAGTTATCAATTAATATCTTTCTAATGCAAGGCTTTAATTTTTAGTTTTCCAAATGAATGATCCCTAAATGTATTTTTGTTATGAAGTTATTTCTTTTTAGTTGTACATATTAATATTCTTAGCTATCAGGTCTATATTTACGCTGATTTAAAAAACAGGCATGGTCAAAACATTGTCAAATCTCTTAAAATATTGAGGTCACAATGTATCTGGAAATGTTAAAAATAGAAAACATAAGGAGAAGAAAGCTAATTCTAAAATGATTTTGCATTATAACTAGAAGGTAATACATGCCCAATTAAAATGGAGTTAATCAAACCAACTTTAATATTTATTATGTATGGGTAGGACATACATTAAGTGAAATGCAAGGTATTTATTTTGAACTGTCTTCTCAACCTCATTTTTTAATAAGAACCAAAAGCTCATGGTGCGTTTTCTATGAATATCAAAGAACTCAATAATACCAGTTTCAATTTGGCCCTGACAATACAATTCAGGAAATCAAGATGCATATTAGAGTCTGATCTCATAAAATGTTTGGCACTAATGATTTTGCAAGAAAGAAATGTAATTTATAATATTTTCCCTTTGTCTAGCTTACTCAAAAATAGTAATCACATTTGTATAAGAAAATGTGCAGCTCATAGTTTACAATCCTATGTACTGCTTAATATTTTCAATATACCTAGCATTACTTACAAAATCCCTTCCTTTAGCATTGTCACTTACAACTCAATAAATATACATATCATCATTTTTGGTCCATTACACATATTAATTAGAAGTGGTAGAATGTTTTAAAGTGGGTAAAAATTATGTTGATTAACTGAATTGACATATATTTTCCTGTAAATTAAATGTACAGGTATAAAATACAACAAATATCCCTAAAAATATATTTCACAGTTATTTTTCTTAAATTCATCAAGGCTAAACTCTTAAAGAGAATTATTCCTGAGCAGACCTTGAATCATGTTTATAATAGGGTAGATTATATTTGACTAGAGGAACAGACATTTTTGTTATTTTTGTTATCATAAAATAAAATAGTAATGATTGTGCTATTTTCATCTTTCATATACAGTTCAGGGACAACAATTTTTAATCCTAATTATTTGAAAAAATGAAGTTTTTAATACCTTACAGTTCATTCATATAACATTGATAGACACAATCATTCAAATATTTGACAGTCTATCTCACTTTCTGATCCTTTATAGGTTGAAATGATGTAGTAATTTATAAAGCATAAGTTGTTATTAAAATTTATTTACCTTCAGTTTCCAAAAGGACAATATTGATTGTATAAGATTTTAGCCCTTTAGATGCCTGAAGTTCTTCATGGAGTGTAAGAAAGTTTGAAACATACGTACTGAACAAGACTTTCAATTGTCTTCTAATCAGAAAGCACAGATTTGCTTCTGCTATATCTTATTTATGTAAATTATGAATTGATTAATATGATAAATTGTATGAAAAGTTATCTGATTTCTTACAGAATTCACAACTCAAGTAGCCATATAATTCATAGTTTTTATGCATCTTTCATAGTCTTCTTGATGCGTTCTGATCTTGACCTTTTGGAAATCAGTACAACAGAAAAGTAAACAGTATAAAAGTAGAAAATTTTAAACCTTTAAGTCATGGAAATGTGTTCCATCTCGTATCTGTGAGAAGAGCTGTAAGCAAGTAAGTTGAAATCTCATTTTTTAAGATCAAATTTTCTGAAACATTGTCAGTGTTTGACAGGCTGTCTTAAAGGGTCATTTTTCTCATATGTGTCTAGGTTAGACACTTTATGCTTTGATAAATGCTCATAGTGAAAAGAAAGAACCTTTCTAAATTTGCAATTGCAAATGTATTTGTCCTGATTCATCTGCCTATATATTTACTCAGTATATACTGAGCAATGCTTATGTATCAACCTCATCAACCTATCTTGCTTCTTTTTTGGTGCATTTCTGGCCTAAATCCATCTGCTTTTTACTACCTCCAGCATGACAGAGTACTTCAGTTCTGATCAAAGCTCTCTGGAAAGGCAGAAATCTAGTGCTATGCTCTCTCGTTCCTAAACAACACAAGCGTTTGCTTTCTTTCCACCTGCACTAACAGGTGTTAATCTAAAATATTCATGTAAAATATTTAACTAAAACTTCTCCGACTGACACTGATGGGCTGATTTGTATGAATAACTGTATTAGTTTGATATATTTAAAAGCTTTAAAGATGTCATAATGAACTTTGACTCTAATTTTCAATTACTTAGATAGTTGTCCCTATTCTATCACCTTTTTGTTGTTGTTGTTCTTAAATACTAAACAGAGGGTATTTTCCTGGTTTGCTGTCCAGGTGAAGTAAGCATTATAACTTTCAAGAACAAATCATAACACAGTGATGAAGATTTCAGTGGTTTAACATATCCACCCACTCCTACTTTGTCTCTCAGAGCTCTACGTTTAAAAACTCCTCCAGTAAACCTTTTTTCTTAAAGAATTTTTTTAAATGCTCTGTGTTGTGATTACCTTGATAAAAAAGCCAGAAATGATATGAGCTCTGGGAAGTTTTTGTTTGTTTTCTTTTTAGTTTTACAAGTCTGCGCTAAATTTCTTTTTTAATAAAACAACTAAAGCTTGCCTCTATCTCCTCCCACTCCTTTGGCTCGGTGCTTACTCCCTATGTACTCCTTGTATTTTATAGCAATGGAATTTAACTGGGAAGGGCCTCCCTAAGAAACCATGTGCACAGAGGCACACCACAGCGGATCCATCAGAGGGACGCAAGCAGACCAGCTCCGCGCTCCCTCTGCCCGGCTCTCCCCAGCCCTCTGCGCCTTTCCAGTATTCTCCGGTATTCACAAAGGCAGCAGAGTTCACCGTGGAACAACAAGTTGTGCTGTGAATCTCAGCGATTTACCCACGTAGCAAGCAGGATTATTGGCTTAATTGAAATCAAGGTTACCAGGGGAGAGAGGAATTACTAGACTGGGTTCAGCAACGTGGGAAAAAAGTGCTTCTGTATTTTGACAGAAAAAGAAAATGACGCAGAGTGCAATCAACTGACTTTAGACATTGATCACGTTATTTCTTTCAGCCCCCACAGTTTGGGTACCAGAAGGTCAAAGACTCACTTTGTATGTGCCAGGGGTCCTCTATGCTCCATTTCCCCTAAATGCATAAAAGGCTAAAAACAACCACATTCCCCAGCACCGCGGCATGGCTGCAGCTCCTTTGTTTACCATATAAGTCACACCAGGGGTTTGCTCCTCGCCCTCTCCCCTACTTTAACGCCGGGTGCGGCCAGAGCCTGAGCAGCACCCCCAAACTCCGACTCAGTCAGAATCAACCCCAGAAAGCTTCACAAATCTCTTCCCTATCCTTGAAAAGAAATTAAGCAGTCCCAGCCTCTTGAAGTCCTAACCCCGCAAGGATGTCCACCTCCCGGGCAGCCTGGTAAAACTTAAGGGAGATCCTGCAAAGGAGTCGGGTGTAGTCGGGTCAAATGGAGCTCTGACGCGACACCCTCTTTACCTGCAAAGTTGCGATCTTGGGATGAAGCGATCGGCTCCGAGGACGGCGGGCACCGGTGCTGCGTCCGGGGACAGCACGCTCGGTCACATTCCGCGGGGCTTTCCTTGGTCGCTGTTGACTTTTGGACCATTCCAAGGAAAACGCACGAAGCCGGAGCCGACGCAGCTGGCACCGAACTGGGCGGAGTGAGGATGCTCTGAGAGCGAAACCGGGAGGCGGGGGAGGGGCGGCAAGAAGGGGTGGCGATCGCTGGGAGAGAACCTCACCCACCCCCGCGCCTCGGAGCCCTCGGGTAAAGTTAGGGCTCCCACGCCTGACCGCGAGAGCGGGGAGGAAGGTTCCCGGCTCCTTCTCCGTCCTCCGGGGCTCCCGGCTGCAGGTCAACAGGGACAGCCCGGGAAGACGCTGACCCACGCACCTCGGTGGAGCGGACGCACGCCTGGGCAAGGGCTGACACTCCCCCAGCTCGGTTGCCCCAGTCGCCTCCACCTCCCTGGGCCGACCTCTGGACGTCAGCTAGCAAGCAGTAGGGAGCTCAGCATTACGAGCCAGCCCCGTCGGCGGGAGACTCTACCCCGAGGTCTGGGACGCAAGCCAGACACACCTCCAGGCTTCGGTGGAGCTCTGCAGAGATGCAAGAGTTCAGTTTACGCCAGGACGCAGCTTCCCAAAGCCCGGCTCCTACCCTAGTAAACAAACACCCATGCGGCCGGTCATCCGGCAGGAGAAAAGTAACCCCCGCAACTCTCAAAGCGTCTCCCACTCGCGCAGCTTTGGGTTGCTGGCACCCCCTCGCCCATCCTCAAGGTGTCAGACTTCCCCTGCAAGAACAAGGATGCGGCTTGCCACACTGCCAGCCCTCCCAATGAGTAGATGATGAACCAAGACGTTCCACCCACCCCTATTCAGCTGGCTCTTTCCAAGAGGCAAAGGAAATCAGCAAGTTTTCAAATGTTAATACCCAAGACCGGGGCCACCTTGGAGCGCAAGGCTTAGTAGCTGCAGGTGGTGTGCGCCAGTGCGTGCCTGAGCTTGTGTGTGCGTTGCGAGAATCAGGTGTTCTGATGTGGAGATTTCCGAATAAATGTTAGCCCTTGGTCAATCCCCTTGGTATTCACACACAAAAATAAGATCAAAGTGCGGAGAGGAACACAATGTATGTAGGCAAAATCGGCAATGACTTACTTGCTGTAACTGCGACGCGATGATTCCCAGCTTTTCACTCAGGGCGGCTTGATTGGTCAGGACCTCGGCACCCAGAGAAGCGCTGGAGTCCGTTGGTAATACCAGCAGTAGCATCCGGGCAGAATCTTGTCTGAGAGAGCGAGCCCTTGCTTCGGACCCTTGCTTCTTTCTACTTGATTGCCTTTACCTTCCCAAAGCTCTAGGGCGAGATGCTGACCGCGGTGGCTTTCCAGCAGATGCCTGTTTCAGTTCTGTGCGGGTGCAACAGATTGGTGGCACTCTCTCTTAAAGAGCCCCTTGGTGTTACACCTTTTACACCTTCTGGGAAACAGTGCTGTGGCGATCTCAGAGAGGACCAGCTTCTTCCCATGGAATGCTCCCTAAGGAGTGCAAAAGGCGAATCAGCAGCCAAGGGGAGACTCCAAAGCACACAATCGGAAGAATTTCGTTCTTTATCTATCGCAGTTCAGAGGAGCTGAGTTTGTTTATCTGTTTGCAGTATTTACAGATGTGGCTAACCAGCATGCACTGGAGTGACATGCATGAAACTTTTTTCCTTTAAAATGTTTTGTTATTTTTCAATTTGTCTTTTGTCCTAATTACTCTTCTCACAAGCTCATCCACAAGTCACCTTGATTTGTGTTCTAAATTTCTAGGAGCAGGAACCTCTAGGCCATCCCTCTAAAATACTATGGTATCTGCACTGAGGTAAACTCGTCTGGGTCCTACAATAATTCTCCAGAAAATAGAGAGAATAGTAAAATATTCCTCTCCTTCTCTGAATTTCTTTTTACTCTACCACAGAAGTACACCAGCATCCTTAAACAGTCATGTCTTAGCATTAAACTGTGACTTTTGTAAAATATGCAAAAAACGCCTGCATCTGTGGGCATAGTAATGAAGTTTATAATGAATTAATGTCCACTTTTTAACAAGATGGGAAAACAGTATATATGGAAATCCATTTTATGAACAACTTATATACACCATGTACAACAGTGGATTTACTTTGCCATTTCAGTATCTACACCAACTGAAATGCTCCTCCTGCCTCTCTTAACATGCTGTCTCCAATATCATGTCAATGAGAGTCATTTTAACAACTCGCGATAATTTACTATTTTTTCCGTAAGAAAGGTGCCTGTGAATCTACAATCCATACAAAAGGGGAAAACTGCTAGTTTAACATTGCACTTGTCAGCCATCTGAGCGCACTGTGCCCATGGAAACCAAGAATATCTATTGATCACTGAGCTTCCTTTCCTACTGCTTCATGTGATGACTGATTGCTAATCTCGTGGCACAAGATGATTAGCAGTCCTAGGAAGGTTATCGGAAGTCTTCTCAAACAATCTAGCCAACTGTGTAAATCATGGTGATTAGCAATACAAAGAAGTTTTTTACTTTTAACAATTTATAACTAGTTGGCATCATTTCGCAAAGCCTCACAGCACTTAAAAAGTCATTCACTGAAGTCGATAAACTTACAGTAACATGCTATATGCTTATCTGGACTTTGGTTTCAATATCTGATTCAAGAAATGAAGAACAAGCTCTCTTTTTGAAATGAGCAGAGACAAGTGACCTAAAAAATTGATAGCAATAAACCAATTTCTTTATAGTGCTTAGCTGTAGTGAAGATAGATCATGGGACTGGGATCAGCATTGTTTTAAGAACTCAAATTTCATTTACTTCTAAAAACTGTTCTCCCATTTAGAAGCTGACAGGTAACATTTGTGAAGTATTTTTTTCTAAAATTGGAAAGGGCAAAGTCACAGACAATAGTATTTGGAAAATTTAATTCTGCACATGTCTCATTATAGATATTCTATGTAATAATCATCTTCTGTGCTGAATGATGTCTTCAAATAGATGATAGTAGCCTTTTCTGATCCCAGGCAAGTTTGGGAAATCGGTGCACACTCTCTTTGAAGCTTGCCCAACCTGTCTCCTCTGTGGCTGGAATTCTGTCATTCTGAACAATGGCTCTACAAGTGTGCACCCAAGGACTCTGACCTCTGTTTAAGGTTCAGACAGTTGCTTTTGCGTCAGATCTTTCAGCTCCCATTGTGCTATCAATTGGCATTGATCTGATCTGCCTGAGCCCGGTTATAAACACAGCCTTTGAGCTGCCTTTTAAAAAAATTAATATTGCTAAGTTTTTCTGAAATGTTAATTTTGGAGAACCACTAAGAATTTCTGTGAAATATTTCACTATCTTTTAATTCTTGAAAAAACAGGTTGTTTTTATACTTTTATTCTCCATTAGAAAACTTTGTTGAAAGCCTTTGCTAACACATTTTTGACTGCACATCTGATTATATCCTCAGAATAGATTCCTACAAATAGAGACATGTATCAAGATGCAGAAATATTTTAAAGCTCACTGTGTATGTTATAAGGGAACTTGTTTTATGAAATCTTCATCAATAGGAGGCACATTTAGTCCTCGTTTCCCTCTTTTCTTTCTTTATGTTTCCTATTTCTTTAATTTCCTATTTGAGAAAAAAACATCTTGAATCAATAAATTGTATTACTAGAGAATATGACTTATACTTTTATCCTTTCTATTACTGTGTACGAGTTTGCAAACTGTTTCAATTCTTAAGGATTTTAGTGCTTCTTTTCCTAACTTGATTTATGATAGCTCTTGAGATATTAACACCAATACTTTCTCATATTTACATATTTCTCCATTTTACTGATTGTAAAAATTTGGGGTAATAACATTTGTTTTTAAAAGGTATGGTTCTTATAAATATTAAACTACCATATTTTCCTACATGATTTATTTTAGTACTCTAGTATTCTTAAAGTCTTTTCCCAAACATATTCATTCTTTTCAAGTCATTTTAGTCATTTATTCATGGACCCTGGAATCATGTTGCGTATTTGAAATGTCAGTATTAGGATTCACGGGGCTGGGGATTTAGCTCAGCGGCAAAAGCGCCTGCCTGGCAAGCGCAAGGTCGTGAGTTCGGTTCCTGGTACCGGAGAAAAA